TGCCTTTGTTGCAAAGTGTCGCTAACAACACTTACCTTTCAGGAGGGGTGTGGGGTACGTAATTAAAAATTGCAGATCTCTCCTATTACAGTATCCCTCCATATTGTAATAAATTCAGACTCTGCATTTTCAGGTCTATGATCGAAATACAACTGGCAAATCATCAAGTCTGAACAGCCTCCCAGGACACTGGCTATCTCTAGCCTCATTACCTTCCTCTTGTGTTGGTGTTTTACCTTTGCCAGGCTGATTATCTCACTTAACCTGAATTCTCAGGATGATGCAGCTGAGGGATAAATGAACTCTGGAAAAGGTATTTACTGTTCAGGCAGATCCTTGTGGGTTTCCTGCGCTGCTGGGAGTGAGCGGGTAGAATTACCTGTCAGAAACTCGGGCTTCTTCTTACGTGGCATCTGCTGTGAAACGTCTTGGGACCCAAGACTCAGTTACTTGCTTAAAACAGGGACCTCGGGTGACATGAACTGGCCGACAGCGATCTTTCGTGGTCTGTGGCCACAGGGGGATGCAGCAAAAGAAATCAGCCTAATTTCAGCAAAGATGATTTAGGGTTGGGTGTAAGGGAAAACAGTTTCTGATCGTGACCTAGGGGAACAGGCTACCTAGAGATGTTCTGGAGCATCTTTCCTTGGGCGGTTTAAAGAGACGTGCAGGATGGTCCCTCCGTGCTGGGTGCCAGTTGATTTCCCGAGGTCTCTGCCAGGCCTACCCGTCTGCAGGTCTCAGATTGCTGAACCCGGTCTCGTCTGATGTTTCAGGAATTGGTTGGGGTCTGCCCTGTGCCCTGTTTCCACAATCACAGGACAGTGGGTGCAGGAAAACTTTCGGAGCGCCTGATCTAAGGGCTCCCTCTGCGCCCATCTGCTAATTGAAGGATCTGCGTAGCACAGGGACCCTCTAAGATTTGTCTGCGGCTCCCACCGGCAGAGCTACCGAAGGCTGGAGGAGTCCCTTCACCCTGGAGCCCGAGTTCAGGTTGTTCAAACTCAAACCTCAAGCCAGTCTCTACCTCCCCTGCTTTTTCCAGGCCTGTGCTCTCCTCCTCAGAGCCTCATAGTGTGGGGAACAGAACGGTGCCTCGGATTTAAGCTCTTTGGCTGGAACTGGACAGGGTGGAGGGGTGTCCTGGCAGGCATTTAGGACCTTTATTTTTTTGGATGGGGGCAGGAGGGGTGAAATACAGCAACAAGCTCCGCTTCTGGCAAGACGGGTCTGAGCTGCCGTCCTAGAGGCGCACCCAGAGCCCACGCGCCGTCACGGCTTAGTTGTCCTCCAGCCCCTACGACCAGAGCTATTCACCTCGAGCTGAGAGCGCCGCGTCTGTCGCGGCGAGAAGCCAAGAGGCTCCTCCTGTCTTTGCCCCATTGCTTTGCTGATTGATTGATTGCCATTGTGTTTCCTGGGCTGAAGGTGACTGGGTACGAGGAGGCACACGTGTTTGGCGGCCGCAAAGCTCCCATGAAGATGGATGGTCTTGCACGTGCTACGTCCTCAGTCTCTCGAGAGATCTCTCTGAATTAAACATCGCCAGCATCTTTCGTCTTTGCATTTTGAGACTGCACCGGCACCTGGAAATAAGGAGCAACACGCTGAAATTGGGGTAATATCTGACCCGGCGCTCTGGGTAGCGTCAGGGGAGATGCTGTTATTCACGCCTCTCCAGACGCTTCAGATGTCGTGTGTGTTTGTTCGCGGCCAGTTGATCTGTTCCTGGGCTCTCCTATATACCGCATATTAGTCCTGTCTTAGGGTGAGAAATCAGTTCAGGGGAAGGGCGAGACAAGCAGGCAGTGTTCATCGAGGCGTGTTGGAGCGTCTGAGAACTGCCTCTTGCGGCATGCGCACACGCAAGGCATGTTGTCGCCTTAACGTGTGACTGTTGAGTGCAACCACCACGAGAGGGAGCTTCCTGAATGCAAAAGTCTTCCTTCCTCCGGGGTTTTCCAGATCTTTTTTTCTCGGAAAGGCTCTTGCACTGCTACCGGCATTGTGTGTAGTGCGGTTGCTTTCTAAGACACCAAGAACCAAACGCAAAGCTGTTTTAGGATTGCGATAGTGCAGCTGGACCACAGCAAGCTGCTGGCTGCAATGGGAATTACCTTGGCAGTTTCAAAAAAGTTTAATCCCAAGGTTAACCCTTCTGACTATCAGCGGTCGGCAGCTCCAGCTGATAGCGCTGGCATTCGTGGGCATGGGTGACGGTCGCTATTTGGCCCTGAAGATTATTACAGCCTCATTATTACAGCCTCTTTTAACCGTCCTGGGAAGCTCACCATGGCACAACTCCCCAGGGGCCGGATTGTGCCATTTCCAATTGAACAACACTCTTAGGCCCCGGCTGGTTTGAAACCACTGGGACTTGTGCAGACTTCGGGCCCCTTGTTCGTTTGTTGGGTGGTGGGGTCGAGGTCACACCCCACCCATCCGAATCGCTGCCGCGGCGGGACAGGTTACGTAGGCATGGAGCAGACTTAGTATCAAGCATTAGGTCATCCCCACTCCTCGCTCTCAGCGCCGGCCTCTTGCAGAGGGCGATGAGTGGGAGGCGAGGACCTGACAGCCCACAGCTAAAAAACCGATAAACTTTCATTTCCCCAGCTGCAGATTGGGGGTACTTATACCGAGCTGCGTCACAGGGCTGTTGTGCAGCTGAGCAAACGTGTTCAGGGCCTTACAACAGCGGCTACTGAAAAACCCCTTTGCACGGCAAAACATTAGTGATTATTTTTACTAAAGGAACCGGCTGGATTCTGAGAACTGGGAGAGGAAGAAAACCCACTCAGTCCCCAGCAATAGGATAGAGGTTACCAAATTTGACTCAGTACATCCATGTAGGCTGGACTGGGAAGAGAGCGAGAGATTAACCCCTGGAGGGTTGAAAAGGTTATCGGTGATCAGAGCTGGTGGTTGTTTTTTCCTGCCCATCGCCAGTTAGTTTAATTCGCTCCAAGATCCAAGTTCACTGAAGAGTTTTGACCCCCAAAAGATGGTGCTAGGTTCCCTGTTACCCCTGGACCTCGTGGCAGGCGAGGGGCGTAGGAGATGCCAGCTTCCATGGGTGACCCGTCCCTACAGAAGCAGTTAGTCGGTGCAAAATGAACAGAGTCCTTCCTCTTGGACCTCCGGGGTTACGGGCCAAAGCAGTTTGCAGCAACCCTTTAGGTGCTAGAAAACTGTCGCCCTCTTCCCCCTCCGTGCTGTCTTCCCTGCATTGAACAAACCCATTTTTTTCAGCTCCTCCTAGGCCCTGCTTTCCTCAACCTCTTCCCGGTCTCGTCTCTCTCCTCTGCGTCTCTCCAGCTCTTTTGTTCAAGCCCGGTTCTCCGTGACACGGTGCCAAAAAATAAGCAGCACGCTGCAGCTGGGGCCTCCTCCGTGGCGAGCAGAGTGGCGTAATTACCCCCCTCGTCTTACCTTCGGCACGCCTGTTCACACACCCCAGGGTGACGCTTCCCTTTCTCACACAGCCGTGCGGCGTTGACTCACGTCCAGGCAGCCTGTGAGTCACAGCCATGGAGCCTGTCCAGGCGGAGGGGACGTTGGGCGCACCCAAACCAGCTGCTAGCTACAGCTTCGCCGCCGGTGCCTCTCACCCCGCCTTGGCCTTCGGGCGTGCTCTCAAACACGTTGGCTGCAGCCGGAGATGATGGAGTCCTCCTGCTTAGGAGGGGGGTCTAAAAGGACTCTAGGGAGTTGGAGGTGACCCCAAAATGCAGCGCAGAAGCCTGCAAAAGGCAACGACCATGGAGCAAGCGGTCCGTGCGGGCAGCAGCCAGCGTGGTGATGCGCAAGGATGCTCCTCTCTTTGCCCGACCCCCAGCCACGCACCCTCACGCCGAGGCTTTGCAGGCTGGTGTCCCTCGTCCGCCGCGTGGCACTGATCCATTTGCAGCGGCTGCTCGCCACGGGGTGAGGTTTGGGGCTGTTTTCCCAACCCAGAAAGCAGGCCAGCCTGAGGGCCACGGGCCCGGGGGGGAAGGCGGCAGGATGGAGCCAAATATTGGGCGGTCTGAGAGGTCTGGGGACAGGGTCTTGGGCTCCAGCACGGCGCTGACCCTGCCTCGCCCTGGAAGCAGCACCCAGGGCGCAGGAGCAGAGTTGCCCCCGGGGGGTGTAGGGGCAGGGCTGAGGTAGCGGAGGGGGGGAGCTAATGAAATTTGTGCTAGTCGGTGCAAATACAGTCGAGTGGTAGCATTCATCCAGCTACCCCCATGGTTCCTGGGGGTCCCTCTCTGATGCAGTGATGCCGCTGGGTGTTTGTAACCAAAGTTGGAGACAAACCAGACCGAGTTGCCTTCAGCCGGTTAACACCAGGGTGGAAAGAACAAGAGGGCGCCGTCTGGACTAACGAGCAAGGGGTAGGAGCTGATGAGCAAACCGCGGGGGCGATGGGAGGAGGATGCTGGTCTTGGCCCTTGGCTGCATCTTCTCGCTGGGCTGTGTGTCTGCACAAACGTGGTGAGAAGCAGCCCCTGCCCAAAGAGCTTGTAGGGCAAATGGGCCAGGCGGATGAGAGCTGGGCCAGGAAACTGAGGCACAGGGGGGAGAGGGGTGACTTCAGCAAGACCGTGTGGCAGGTAGAGATCTCCTGGCTCCCATCCCGGTACACTTCCCACCCTCCTTCCTGGGGGTTCAGGCTTGCCCCTGCCTGGATGATCCCCTACCCCCATTGCCCAGCCCGTGTGTGCACGGCAATGTGGAGACTAGTTGTTTAAACGGGATGCCGCTCAATTCCCGAGAGGCACGGGGGCAGTGCAAAATTATTACTCTAGGGATTCAGGGAGAAGACGAGTCTGTTGAGGGCATGAGGCCTTCCCAGTCCAAAAACTGGAGCCAAAGTGCCTTGAAGCGCTGCAACCCATCACCTTTGCTGCGGGTCGTCCGGTGCCCGGGGTTCGAATGGTGGGCTGGGCACGGCGCACCCATGCTTGGGCCATTTCGGTGTGCGGGGCTCCCAACTGGGCCACGCACCTGCTCAGAAGAGAGTTTTGTCTGTAGAGGCTGAAGAGAGCAACACGCAACACGCTCCAAGAGATCTGGTCGTGCCCCGGACGTGGACAGGACGGCTCTTCTCCGGGCTTTGCCACCTGCCGTTCAGATTAGATGGAAAAACTCTGCTTTTCTGCTACATCACCTCCATTCCCACATAGCTGCGTTGCCCCCGGCCCGTCGCGTGGTCCGTAGCAATTGCCCCGGGGGGAGAAGGCTCCACACCTTCCCAAGCAGGTGCTTGCAAGGACCGGTTGCCTTTTGCCTGCGCTTCTTCCTAGCACCGGGTTCCCCTGCCTCCGGACTTGCCTCCGAGGAGAAGTCTGCATCCGTGCTGCTGTGACTGCAGCCTTCTCCATCCAACTGAGAGTGAAATTATGTGTGAAAGAAGAGTCGGGGCTCCCTCCCCGCTCACATTACGACGCCTCTCGCGCTTGCTGCAAGCTCAGCCGCGCACTCAAGGATGCTGCATCTCAAAGTCCAGTTTTTGGACGACTCCCAGAAGATCTTTGTAGTCGATGTAAGTGGCGATCACGTTGTTATTGTTTGATGCTAATTAACGAAGTCGTTGCTGTTCTCCGGGGTTGTGTAAGCTTCAGGCGTGCTGCGATAGCTTCTGGTTTCCGTCTGTGCTGAAACAAACTGGCCGCGCGCTGTCCTCCCGGGGTCGGGGGTGATGCACCCAAGCCATCCCGGGTCCTTAGTCTTGCATGCTTTAGCAGAAGGCTTTGCTCCTCCAGCGTCACCTGTGTGAAGCAGCTGCGGCGTAGTTGGGTTTTTGACCAGCGTGGGGGGGCAGATATTCATTTTTCTGTCGGCCGACATAAGCTTTCACGAGGGAGAAATGCCTGAGTCCAGAATAAAAACCTGGACAGGCAGCCAAACTACCCAGGGTGGCAAACATCTGCATTTGTGTGTTCCCCAGCTGAGAAAAACAAACTGTTTTCCAGCGAGATTCCCATTCTCCAGAAAACAGCAAAAAAAGGATGCTGCTTTTCAGGATGACGCTTCCCAAAAGCATGCAGTTATTTAACTAGTCACAGATAACGAATATTATCCTTGAATATATTAGCCTGAAAACCCTGAAGTCTACATCATGACAGCTTGGCAAGGCAGCTAAATGTGATGTGGTATGACTGGATGTGTTTCAGAGACATCCCTTTTTAAAAGTGTAGTTGAGACTCTTCTGCAGATTTGCACAGTAAAGATGCATTCAGATACGGCTAACCTAGATCTATTTTGGTCTCCTCTTACCTCTAGCCAGCAACTGTGTGCTTGTGATTGTAGGTGAAGTTATTTTATTTGAGTTGTGCTGCGTTTCCTAGGGTCTATTTTCTTCCCCTGCTATAACAGAGATCCTGTGCTGTGCCTCGGTTCTCCAGTTGCGTCTCTGCAGTTGCAGGTTTGGAATAAGCAATGATTGCAATGGGATGCTGTCCTTTGAAACAGCATGACGAGATTTTTATTTGCTTCCACATGTTCAATGAATACTTGAACTTGCAAATGCAGTGCTTTTACCAAATGCTGGCGTGCATCGTTAGCCGATGGATGTGGCGAGGGGCAGCTCCTCGGCTGCTGCAGATCCAGTGCTGCTGCACTTTTCCTCCCTCTCCCTGTTCCTACACGCACAGGACATTACCAGGACTATAGCTTCGCACAACATGTTATTTCAGCAAATAGCTTCCATTAAAGCCACTACTAGCCATTTCCTTTTCTTTCCTCCGTGGAGCGGTATTGGAAACCCCTTTCAGGCATTCGATGCATTTGCGGCTGTTTGGCTACGATGAATGAGCGGGGGAATTAGCGAGTAACAAAAAGATGGCTTTAGGCGAAGTTTTGGACGCATCTTTCAAGCAACTCGGACGCGACTCTTCCCAGACCCTGGCTGACTCTGGAAAGCTCTTTTGAATGCGCAGTACTTGAATATAATGGGAGGATGAAATGGAAAGGAGGCCAAAGAGAAGGGGCCTGGCTCCCCATGGGCCCGTGCCTTGTCTAAGCATTGACACCTGGCTCACGGGGGCCTGGACACCGGGGGGGCCACGCAGAGCGGTCTGGGGTCGTCGCGCCTGCCCCCCACCCTGATCAGGTCTTCCCTCTGGAAAGAAATCAGGCCTTAAAATGCTGAAGCAAAAGTCCCGACTCTTGGCAGACCCTGCCGGAGTCCGGGCAGGTCGTGGGGCTGGACGTGCCCACCCGCGTGTCACCCCGTCCTTGCAGGGCTCTAGCAGGAGCACGCACGTGATGGGAACAGCCCCCGCGTGTGCAGCGTGACGGCTGCCTCGTTTCCCCTCCCAGCTGCAGAGGCAGGAGGGGGTCAGGCTGCTGCTTCTTGCCTTATCCCGCCTCGTCGAGGTGCCCAAACCCAAGCACTGGAGCATTTCCACCCAGCCTGAGGCTGTTTTGCATCCTCACTGAGCTGTGCCAGTGCTTCTGCGGGGAGGGTCCCGGCTACAGGGTCTTGCCCCTCTGCTCTTAGATGGATGGGCTTGTGTGGGATAGCGGTCGGGCTAGCTGCTTTCACCCCAGGCCCTGCCACGCGTCTCCATCCAGCCCCTTCCCTGCATGCTCCCTGCGGTGACTGCAGGGCTTCTGCTTCATCTGTCCCCAGTTCCTTCGTACTGGTGGCCAAGCCTCATCCTGCTCCATGCCGCCTAGCTTCCTCGGGACAGGCGGTATCTGCCCCCTTCCTGCCCGGGCTCCGGGTTTTGACCCCAGGTGGGTCTCCCCTGGAGTCGGGCAGTGCTGGAGCCAGGGCGATGTCTGGGGTCAGTGCCCAAGGGACGGGGCATGGAGACCCGCTTGCAGAGCTGCTGGCGGGGCCCCAAAATCCCCTACCCCGACGCTCCTGGCCTGGTCCCAGTCCTGGGGCTCTGCACCGCCACTCTCCCCAGTGTGAGTTCAGGGAGTCAGGCCTTGCACACCCAGCAAACGAGGGCTGTGACGGTGCCCCCGGCATGGATGAGCAAAGAGGCTGTGGCACCAGCAGGGCAGAGGGGTCTGCTGTGGGTGACCGGAGCATCCCTGCTGCTCCCGCCGTCCAGATAAAGATGAGGCAAGAGGTTTGCAGCGCTCCCACGTTTCCTCAAGCAGTAGGAGGGTCACGCACAGCCCCACTAACCCACTTCCTTCCCATTGCAGGGCTTGGTGGGGCAGAGCTCTGGATCCGCGGCGCTGCTCGCCGGACGGAGGCTGAGAGCCCTGATGGACTCGGCTGGGGCCAACACGAGTGCACGGCCCCCGGCGCCCCGTTGGGGCAAGGGGTCTTCTAGCCCCCGCTGCCCGCTCCCAGGCTGCCTGTCATTGCAATCAGAGCTATTCACCACCATCATTGCTGATGCAGTCAGGAAGAGGAGTCTGCAGGAGGAAATGTGGTTTAGCTTTTAAACCAGCTGCTGAGTCCTCTGTGGTGGGGAGACCTGGACCCTGACCGCTGCAAGGCATTGATGGGTGCACGGGGTTGCTTGGACTGTGCCGCCAGCCACGGTGCGGTGCAGTGCTCCTCTCCTGGGGGGCCTGAGTCAGTCTGGCCCCCTCTCCAGGTGCCCCTCGCAGCTCCTGTGCCCTCGACGAGGAGGAGGAGGAGGTCAGGTCTGCCCTTGCCAGCCGGCAGCAGCAAGACACCACGTCTCTGGGCATGTTTAGCGACAGCCCTCGATAGGCCATGGACGTCCGTCCTGTGCCGCGTGGCGCGCAGGTGTTCAGGGGTGCCGCGGAGCCCCGCAGCGCGCCCCAGGTGGAGGCTACAGCTCCGGCGCGGAGGGCTTGAACGCTGGAGCATTTCAGCATGGAAAGCACCATTGCGATAGCGTTACTTCCCCCCGTGAGCTTGCATTCCTTATGCAATAACGCTGTTATTAGGCTGTCACCTGGCTAGCAATTTCAGCCGCGCGAGGGGCGGCCCGGGCTGGCTGCGTGCGTCAGGCATGTGCGTGCGAGTTAAAATGAGCAGTTGCGGTGCCACAGCCGCCCCACATCCCTCCATGGGGGGGCAGGGGAAGCTGCCAGCATGTCGATGGATGAGCAGCATGCAGAAGGCAGCCAGCCGCTTTCCTGGGGGGGGTTGCTTCTGCTTTTGCTTTAACACCCACTGTGGTCCCCTTCTAGCTGGTTTGTATGGGGTAAGTTAATATAGCAGGCCTAAAGCCCAATAGGGCGGCTTGTATTGCGGCCCCTTTTCATAGATGTTGGCGAGAAGTAGGGTCAGAAGAGACCTCCATGGGTCTGCGCTCTTATTCAGTACAAGGGAGAGCTTGAAGCTGTGCTAAAAAGAAAAGGGGAGATGTTGCTTGGTAGCAGGGGCTGGGCATCATCAAATGATAGAAAATGAGGGTTCAAAGGGAGCTCAGATCTAGTCCAGCCCCTGCTTCAAGCAGGACCAGCCCCGACTACATCATCCCAGCCAAGGCTTTGTCTACCCAGGTCTTCAACACCTCCAAGGATGGAGACGGCACCACCTCTCCGGGTAACCTGCTCCACTTTGCCACCCTCCCAGGGAGAAAATTCTTCCTACTATCCAACCTCAGCTGCCCTTGCTGCAGCCCGAGCCCATTGCTCCTTGTCCTGCCGTCTGCCCCCACTGAGACCAGCCCAGCTCTGTCCTCTTTGCAGCCCCCGGCAGGGAGGTGAAGGCTGCTCTTCAATCCCCCTCGGTCTTCTCTTCTGCAGACTCAATCAGCCCAGTCCCCTCGGCCTCTCCTCAGTAGAGGCAGGACTCCCGGGTTGTGCTCCCACCTCTGCCCTGAATCCTCGGCCTGGTCCAGGTTACCCCACAAGTGCACGGGTTTAATCACCACTTCCAAAGTGCCCGGCGGTCGGGGGCAGCAGGCACAGAGCTGCCCAGCCCTGTCGCTGCTGGTGGGAAGAGCTCGGATGCTCCTGTCTCAGCTTCCAGCCAGGGCCCGGGTGGGTCAGAGCCCTGGGGCACGTAGCTGCATTGTCCCAAGCAGCTCAGGGCTCTTCTAGTCCCACCTTGCAGGTGTCTGAAATGGGTGCCCTGTGTCTAGCCCATGGGAGCAGGGAGCACCACGCTGACGCACCCCCCAGGACTCAGCCTGGCTCCTTGCTATCTGGAGCAGAGCCCTGGTACCAGGTAACAGTCTCACTTGGACATATGAGGGACAGGAATTCAGTGCCCAAACCCCTTAGGAAGCCTCCAGCTCTCAGGTTTTTTGTGCCACGCTAGCTGGAAAGCAGGAAGCTTCCTCCTGTCGCAGCCAGCGCCTCGTTGCTCTCCTCGCGCCCGCGACCCTCGCCGTAAGGGAACGGCGCCAGACTCCCAGCCCGTCGGGCCCTTTCCTAGCCGGCCCCCCGTGCTCAGCCCTGCGCCCGCCAACAGCAAGTTGTGCAGGTTGGCAGTTCGTTTCCAGCCTGCTGTTTAATTAAATGCTTTTGCCATGGCAACCCCCAGCTCACATGATATTTCCATATGCTAATGCTGCGCGCGGAGCAATTGTCTTCAGGAAACATCACGGCATTGTCTGAACAAATCTGTCTCCGAAAACAGCTACTTTCTTCTTTTTTTTTTTTTTAAAGAGGCACTGAAACAAAGCTTTCCTGTTGGTTTGGTTTGTTTTGTTGGGGGGGGGTTAACATACCAAATTTCTGGGAGCTGTGGAGCAAAAATAGCTAGTTGACTCTTTGCTCGGGAGCTCGTCATCCCAAGAGCTGATCCGATGGCACGCCGCGTTTCTTGCTTGCCTCTGCGTGCAAGGCGGAGGCAGCAATGCTGTGTGCAATACTTTGCCTCTGTGTGCAAGGCTGAGGCAAAGTATTTAGTTAAAATAAGGTAGTTATTTTAACTAAATAACTTGTGGTAGTTAAAATAAGGCTTTGCCCTCAAACTGGTGCCCAGTTTTGGTGCAAAAGGGGACATTTGTCTTTGCTCCAAAAGTAGTTGCTTGGGCATTTGTCAGAAACTCGGAAATGCTTTGGGGAGGATTCGTCTGGGCCCCACAAGGCAGGTACCGGACACAGGACGAGCTGCACTGGAGCGAAGGTGGAGGGGGGCACCGTTGGGATGCCTTGGTAGATAAGCTGTCCCATGCTTTGTGTGGTAGGAGGTGACAAAACTGGATATGTAGAGCATCCACTTATTAAGAACTGACTTTGAGCTGTCGCCCAGGGACCTGGTGCCTGGCCACACGCACAGTGATAGATACTCGCAGCGCCCCAGAGAAACAGGCCTCTCCAAGGTGTCTCCAGAAGGACACCCAAAACAGGGGCTCCCACCGCCACGTCACAGCTGAAGTGTGCAAAACCAGACGGATGAAACCGTGCCTGTGTTAGTCAGTGTGTGCTGTGCATGCAAATGCTCGCGCAAGAGCTAGTTTTGCATCATTGGTACAATTCTCCTGGCTCTACCAGAGTTATTGTTGGGTCTCGCTGGCACAAGCAAGATCCGACTTGGGCACCAGGTGTGTCTCCTCGAGGCAGGTTAGTAAGAGGCTGGCTGTGGCTGGGGGGTCTCAGCAGAGCCCCTTCCACACAACCTGCCCGGGACAAGGTGCAGGGACGGCCACGCGCCGAAGGCGCACCCAGCCATAGCCCGGGAACGCAGTTGTTTCATTTGTTTTCACCAAAATTAAAGCCGTGTGTTGAATTTTCCTACAAATCCTTTGTGCGGCACCGAAGCTCGCGGGGCACTGTCCCATGCAGGTACCGGGAGCCCACACGTCGCAGCGGGTTTTCTTCATCGCCCCTCCGTATTTCTCTCCGGAGACTGTCATGGCCTGACTCGCTGCTGCTCACCCTCTTTCTTTTTTTTTGTTCGTTAGCAAAAGTCTTGTGGAAAAGGCTTGTTCAACCTGAGTTGTGGCCACCTCAACCTCGCCGAGAAGGAGTACTTCGGACTGGAGTTTCAAGGCCAGGCTGGGAATAATGTGAGTGATGTGCTTTGATTAAAGCAAAAACCCAACGACCGAAACATCCCCCTCAGCAACGTCAAGGTTAACCATCTCATTCTTAATATTGCATTCAGGAAAGGGATCAAGTGCTCCCAGGTTTGGGAGTGCTGGAGTTACCGATACCGCTGGGACTGTTACTCTGCCCCTTGGTCCAGATGCACACAGCTGCTCCCTTTATGGACAAAGTCACCCATGCTGCTCCGGTCCCTTCCCAGAGTCTGAAGTGGTTCGAGTTTAGCCAAGTGATATGCACCCAAAAACAGGGGCTTAGCATGGAAAATGTCAGGCGACCTTTGCTACGGGCTTGGCTTAATGGAATAAGGGCAGCAGCCCGTGCTAATCCCCGACCCCTCCAGCGAGACAGTCACTGCTCCGAAGTTCACAGACAGCGGGTGAAGGAGGCAGAGGCAAGAATACAGCCCAGATGTCCCCATCCCTAGCTCCGCACCCCAGCTGCAGGCTGCCCGGGAGCAGGCCACCCCAATGATGATAGGGAAAATGGAGAGCCGTGCTGCCAGCATCTGCTGCTCGGTGACTTGTGTTCACCCCTTTCTCCCTCGCTGTCGTTGCAGGTGTGGTTGGAGCTGCTCAAACCCATAACGAAGCAAGTGAAAAGTAAGTGTCTCAGGGGCGAGAGCCAAGCTAGGCTTGGGTGTCTCGCTTCGTCCTGTCGTTCCCTTTAAAACCCCGTGAACGTTGGCCAGCCCGGTGCTGAGCACTGAGCTCCAGTCCAGCCAAGCTTCATTCGGGGCACTGGCCTGGCGAACACGGCGGCTGGCCCACGGGCACCGGCCCACCGGCCCTGGCTCGGTCAGGACACGCGTGCTGGCTCCCCGGGCTTGCGGCGCGTGTGCAGAGATGTGTGAATGTGCTCCCCAGGCGCTGGAAAGCAAACTTATGAGGATGTTGTGTTTTAAGATCCTAAGGAGATTCTTTTCAAATTTATGGTGAAATTTTTCCCAGTGGACCCCGGACACCTGCGAGAAGAGCTGACAAGGTACAGTCCTGTTCCCGGTCACTGGGGTTTTTTTTTTACATAGCTTCCAGTCTTTATAGGCTGCAAGCAGCTGGTGCATGCATGCTTTGTTAGAGGAAATAATGCAATGTTTTCAGCCTAAAAAGACACGCCCCCACCCACCCCCGCCACCCTCTCCTACCAGGAGCACAGCTTTGGGCTTTGCAAAATTGTCTTGCTATTGCTTTATAAAGCAACAAACCAATGCTCTGCCCAGTCCATTGGCTTTAGTTTGCTAGAAGCCGGTGCACATCCAGAGCCGAATTGTATTGGCTGCACTGTTCCCCTTCAGCGCATGTCGTGTGCCGTTAGAAAACGATGACGTGTGTGGCCCTTGCATCACAAACTCACAAACACAAGTCTGGGGTAAAACCCAAGCTGTTTTCAGCCTGGCGGCTGCAGACAATCTGAACCCAAAGCCCTGAGAGGCTTGAGCTGTGCTCTTTTGATCCCAGAGCTGTGTTGACTCTGAAGCCTACAGAGGGACACTCTGACCTTGCTGTTACCTTTTTGGCTGATGAAACACCCAAGGGATGTGCTTTCTCTGCCATCCTGGGAGTGGGGTGTCCCGTTTCTGCCTGAGACCACCGGCACGATCAGCCGGATGGGAGGCATGCAGGGACCTACCGTCAAGGGACAAACAGGCAGGACGTTGGCTCCACCGACGGCTTTTCTCCCACTCTTGGAGCTGTCTCTAACCTGCTACGTGGGGCTGCCCTGAGCCCCCGTGGCAGGATTGGGGTAGCATCCCAGGTGGCGATGCCAGGCACAAAGGGCTCCACAAATGCCCTTGCACCACTGCAGTGGCTTCCACTTCGTGGCATCTCCCGAGCAAGGCTGTTAGCTCCGGTTTTGCTCCCAGCAGGGACGAGGAGGCAGGTGGGATCTGCCCCATGCCCCCTACACCGACCACCCCTATAGCCGGGCTCCTTGCACAGCACCATGGCAATCCTTGCATGCCACGGTCATCCAAACACAGCCCCGACCCTGCCCACGGCCTCACGGGGTTGGCACCAGTGTAGCCAGCCTCAGGGCGGACTGTGGCCACGCTGAACAACCCCCTGGCAGGGCCCTTAGCCCCTGCTGCCTGTGTCCCGTCCCCTCCAGCCCTTGCTTCGAGGCATGCCAGCAGCCTGGGCATCGGGGTTTTCTGCCTGAGCAGACGGGGGCTAGGAGCCAGCTGAATCGTGGGCTCAGGAAACCACGCTCTCCCGCCTTCCAGATACCTGTTCACCCTCCAGCTCAAGAAGGACCTGGCCGTGGGGCGGCTCCCCTGCAGCGAGAACAGCGTGGCCTTGCTGGTGTCGCACCTTCTGCAGTGTAAGCACGGCCAGCTCGGGCCACGCGCCAGCGGGCAGTGCGGGGTGGCACCCCTGCCCCAACTGTGGGTTCGGCTGAAAGACTGGAGCCGTGTCCAGGAGCTTCCTGGAGAGCCAAAGGTGGGGGGTGGCCGGGGGGGTGGTCGTACTGAGACCTATTGCTCTAGGTGCCTTCGCCCACTCCACCCTATTAGTGTCCAAACCAGGTGACAGGGGACACATGGCACATTTGCCCCAAATTACTCGGTAGTGGAGGTGGCAGAAGTGGAGCAACTGTACAGCCGTGCGCTGGGGTAAGCTGCTCCGCTGCGCCGGCCGTGAGGGACACTGAGCTCGAGGCACCCAGGTACCGGACACCTGCGGGGCTACGCCTCTGCAGTGACTGCTCGCGCAAGGCAAAAGGGGCCCTGTCATTTAGCGGCCAGGCATGGATGGCAGCCCCCTCCGCCGAGCCACGGCCCTAACCAGCACTCTCCATCTCTGGCTGCAGCGGAGCTGGGCGATTTCCACGAGGAGGCGGACCAGCAGCACCTGGAGACCCACAAGTACTTGCCCAACCAGGACAGTCTGGAGAGCAAGATCATGCACTATCACCGGAAACACGTGTGAGCCCCC